GACCTTCTCCCGCCCCCACCCCATCCCCCTGCGAGTGTACTCACTTGTAGATGTAGCAGAGGGTGGTGCTGGATCCCACCTGGGAGTGGCTTCCCTCTCTGCCATAGGCTTGGTGCATCCTGCCTCGGTCCAGACCCCGACCTTCTCCCCCCCCCCCCCATCCCCCTGCGAGTGTACTCACTTGTAGATGTAGCAGAGGGTGGTGCTGGATCCCACCTGGGAGTGGCTTCCCTCTCTGCCATAGGCTTGGTGCATCCTGCCTCGGTCCAGATGCCAGCCCGCCATGTTGTACTGGTAGACATCGGAGCAGGGCACCACTTCCTCACGCCGGGGGCTGACCACTTCCTCCTCCGTCACCTGGACTGTCCTCTCGCACCACCGCCTGCAGCCGGCAAGAGGGGGCCGCTTGAGGACAGAGAAACAGGCTGCTGCCTCCAAACGTGGTGCCCGTTTCCCCCTCCCAGCGTGAACATGCAATCTAGAACCAGGCGGGAATGGATCAGACCAAGACCCACTTGGCCTTCAACAGCCACCAACCAGGTGCCTCGTCTGGGAAGCAACGCAAGCAAAGGCAATCCACCCGCGCTTGCCAGCAGCTGCTGATAATCAGAGTTCGCTACCGCCTCTGGACGTCTTTTTGTGTTTTGGAAATACATCATGGGGTGTATAGATTCAGATGAGCAGCTGCGTTGGTCTGAAGCAGCAGAACGAAGTTTGAGTCCTCCAGGGGCACCCTGAAGACCAACCAAGCTTCATTCCAGGTATACCTGTCCTGAGTAGTGACTCATGCAAGCTCCTCCCCTGCCACGAATTTTGTTAAGTCTTTCAGGTGCTCCTGAACTCTTACTCTTTTCTACTGCTAGGTAAAGGTAAAGGTTTCCCTTGCTCGAAAGCCAGTCGAATCCGACTCTAGGGTTGCGGTGCTCATCTCCGTTTCAAAGTCGAAGAGCCAGCGCTGTCTGAAGACGTCTCCGTGGTCATGTGGCCGGCATGACTAAACACCAAGGCGCACGGAACACTGTTCCCTTCCCACCGAAGTGGTACCTATTTATCTACTTGCCATTTCTTGCTTTCAAACTGCTAGGTTGGCAGGAGCTGGAACTAGAGACGGGAGCTCACTCCGTCATGCGGCACACTCGGGTCTCGAACTGCTGAACTACCGACCTTCCACAGACTGCAGCTCAGCGTCTTAACCACTTGAGCCACCGCAGCTCCTTTTTCTACTGCTACAGGCAGACTAACACAGCGACCCATCTTGATCTATTTGAAGAAGCGTACGTGCACACAAAAGCTTATACCAGGAATAAAACTCTGTTGGTCTTAAAGGTGTCACGAGGGACTCAAATTTTTCCCATGATGCTTTGTGCTTTCATGCCAATAAAGATTTTGTGTGTTTGTGTGACTCAAGAACATAAGAACATAAGAGATGCCAATGTTGGATCAGGCCAAAGGCCCATCCAGTCCAACACTCTGAGTCACACAAT